AGAACAAGACACTTAACCCAAATTATTACTCACAATTTTATGAATTTACAGAAGGAACGAATATAACAGTTAAAATGAGTATGGAAAAATAGCAAAGTACATTATGCTTTTAGTAAGATTGTCATTTACATTTATTTACACGTAAAATAATCCTAGGTGAAAAGTACAAAATATCACAATACACTTAATAGACCACGTACAGAGCTCTCGCCCACTAATCTATGTTAAAATGAATAGTGATCTGTCATTCTGGCAAATCACAATGAGTAAGTTGTATGGTTGCCTGTGATGCTACTGTTAATACTGACAGATGTTACAAATTCCCGGTGAAAAAAACGAAAAAACAAAAACAACAAAAAAACACGACTGAACACGTTGATTCTGTTAATGTCCTGCCACTACACCTATGTGCGTGTTGAATTTAAACAAACAAAACAGTCACTGTTTTTATTCAATCACCTTATGTTTTACTTCCAACATATCAAATTTACATGTACAATCGTCTTAAATTGAAGTCACACCCATCGTCGTGATAAACAACAATTTAGTTGCTAATGCTAACAAGATAATTAGGAAGGTAGAAACATCCAGGAAATAGGGGAAAACAGACCATTTGTGTGATTTCTCTTGATGCCAGTGATATGTTGTCCGATTGTGCAAGCAAATTAATATATTGTAGGCTTCTTCCGAGATTGGCTAGTGACGTGCACGATCGCCGACAACATATCCAAATTAGATCGTCGCCACAAACGGCCGACTAGATCTCATGGAAGGCGAGAGAACCACGTCAAATAGTGTTCCATTTACTTATCGTGCTCACTCACAGATTTACGTGGCCATGGTGTTTGGAACAGCCGGTGAACGCGCGACGGAAGAGAATGGGACAATATCTGAGAGGCATAAACAAGTCACGTGACTCTCTCGCTCTCAACGAGATCTCAGCCATACGTCACATCAGGATGTGATGAACAGTTGTCTGTTTTTAACATTTTACTGATTATTACACGACTAGGTACTAAATAAGACGAATAAAATGGCGTACTTGACACACAATATCACAAGACCCTGATATCGACAAATAACCTACTAATTCGCACGTAATTTTAATTTTACAGCAGTCAGTAACATGTCAAGAAAATTACAAAAATATGTAAAATGATGCAGTTGCAAGCAGTTGTCTTTCATCATATAACCTTTGACCCTTGATATTTAACCTCTCTCAATGAAACCCGTATGTTGTCCAGTCAGACGTATATATATATATAAGTTTATATTGCTTAGAAATGTGTTGACAGAAACCAGAATGACTGACTTATATACTTTTGCAATGATGATAACATTGAAAAATTTCTATGGAAGAACAATAATTCTACTTTTTTTTATTGCCGAATAATACAGTGGCCAGGTTTAGAACGCAAAATCTATTTATTTCTCGCTGAGAACTGAAAATATACGTATAATTTCTTTGGAAACTAACTATTTATGCGGTTTTATGATTTTTTTTAATATTAACGTAACATACACTAGTTCACGTAACACTAACGTGTCGCATAATAACCATACTTGTGATTTACACTTTAAAAAAAAATATAATATACTAGTACTTTTGTTTTAACGCAAACAACTTTAATTTGAACATTCGAATTCCCTACTAATTACAATATTAAATTCAACAAACAAAGCCATGATTATGAACGCATTTACACAGCTTTCGCTTCCGTGACTAGTTAAGGACAAAAGTTTTAGATCATCGAGAGCGTGGGAGTCACGAGACTTTAAATTGACCCTCAAATAGTGTTCCAGTCTCTCTCGTCGCAGTCGTTGCGTCTATTGTTGCCCTGTACACGGTAACTTCGTTATTTAGAACAATGGGTGCGAGGGACACAAACAAGTCTTTTGGCTTTCTTGCCGGCAACGTAATCTCGGCATCCACGGCGGGTAAATCTAGAAGTTGGAATTTTGGGTACCATATGTAGATGGCGCATAATGTTTAATGTGACTGACCTGCGATTGACATCGCCAGATTGTGATTGGATATAAAGCTGGCTACTGCACGTGGTGATCCCCAAAAGATTATTGCATGCTAAGCCCAGGCTTATATTGAATAGCAGTTAACACACCAGTAAAATAAAAAAAAAATGAAAACAAAACGTGAATTGCCCAGGCATAATAAAGTAAACGTTGATTTATGTGTGTGGGGATTTACTACAATAACAACGGAGTTACATGTGTACTGTGTCGCTGTGTACTGCGCATGTTTAGTCTAATGTGCCGGGGTAATGGGCAGAGGTTCAGCGATTAAGACATAAATATTCATCCGCATGCTGGACAACACCATATGCTTGGTAAATATAAAATAGCTATTGCTATACTCATTTTGGAGGAGGGGGCACACTAAGTTGGCATAGTGCCAAAATTGTGAACGTATTTCATAGTAGGTTTATGATATAAACCATAGCAAAACAATAAAGCTCACTTATGTCATCGTAAATGGCACTTCTTCTTTTTATGTCGTGCTATACCTGAGATGTAATCTTATAGTTATATTACTACTATGTATAATCTGCAGAGAACTTTTCAACTGTAAGCATCACAAGATTTTGTACAGTTCATGAGAAGAACTCTTATCAAAAAGAATCTTGAATCTGAATTTAGAAGGATCACTTAAAATAAGGTAAACGTGCAAAAAATCAAAATGCACACATGTAAAAAGTCTTGAGTGTATACAATTATGCCAATGTTTGATTTGGCGATTAGACATCACGACATCGTTTCTGTCAAGTACAGGCTAGCTTCATTGCTTCGTTATTTCAGGATTCGTTACCATATCAACGGATTTTAATATTTTTCATGGCGATCACAATAATCGGTTGGAGGTGTTCTGCATATAATACGAAATAGGAATGCTACTTTACAATGACGCTTCGACAGGGGCAATGAAGGATGTCGTAAAACGCACATGTGTCAATATTTACTGGAAATCCCCTGTAAATCAGAAACACTCACTTCTATAGTACACAAATGTTCGTTAATATCATATGTCTCCTGACATAACAGAGTAATTAAACAATTATGGGTTTAAGAGAAAAAAAACACACATCCATTTAGAATGAATATCAGCCGTGTACAAATGTTGTGTCATGTGAGAAGAAATGCGGGCATCTATTATAATTCCCTATCACACGAATCTGCCCACCTCGAAATTATTAAAATTGTGAAATTGATAAGGAAATCGTGCTGGTACTAAATCTGGTGAATCAGAAAAATCAATTTAATTTAATTGAACTGAGGAAACAAAATAAAATTCAAAATAACATCAAGCCCTTACTGCAGTGAGAGTGCGGTTACCAATAATTTACGATATTGAAATCACGCTACAGTACGATTACCACTTTGCCACAATAGCTCAGATTAGCAAGATTGGGATCAATCTTAAAATAAACCTGCTTTTTCAAACTAATATCTTAAGCTAAGAAACCGCATACATGGTACACTTTGTCATCTACTAGCTATCCGTAGTGCGTATTAGCACAAAATGCAAAACAAAAATATAATAATACTTTCAGCTGATGTTGCTAACTAAGTTAAATGTCTAAATAACATAAACTTAGCATGAATTATTTAAATATTTAGTATGAAGACAACACACTCAAATTAAGTTCCACATGTAGGAAAATTAGATAGATATATTTAAAAGAGAAATGCCAATGCCACTAATCTCGCAAACTTGTCGTAGTTCTATACGGTTCATAATAACATTATACACTACATTATGATAAATATACAAGCCATTCAGTGAATCGCTATTGTAATAGAAATAGTTCGTTCCAATTACTTGATAAGCCTAAGCAAGTATTCGTTTTTGCATAGTGCTGTGTTCAAATATATAAATCATATGCATATGGCCGCCGATATCTCGTTTTGAGCGAGAGAGCACGAGACTTGTACGTGACCGTCGAACAGTGCTCTATTGGCTCTCTCGTCATCGCGTTCCCTGACCTAAGTTACCATCAGGACAATTGACGTGATGACGGGAGAGAAAGGAAAACGTATTGATAGGTAAAACAAGCCTCGTACTCCCCACACTCCCAAAAATATCCCGGGGACCATTTGCATGTAAGATATATTGTATTCATAAATTCTAAACATTTTTTTAAACTTTCAACTACCAGCCCTGAATGTCAAAAGCATTCGACGTTTGTAATATGTATTCAAGAAGTGATGCTATTTAATCGTTGTCATGGTCACCAGAGGCAAATTATACATCTGGAAGATCTTACCGAGCCACTCGGACCAATCATTTCTATACTCTTTACAATAATCTTCAGTAAAACGTACATTGAGGACAGAGACAATGTACGTGGCCAACAGTGTTCATCGTCTCTGTCTGGATTGGGTAGAATATACTCTTAGACCTTATTCATAGTAAGCATTTCACAGATGGGATCGATTCTATGATCTTCCCGAATAGAAACGTAAACGATACAACACATGCGTGATTACAAAAAAGTACATACAAAATTCATAACATTAATGACCCAGAGTTCCCGATCCTGAGATGAAAAATATTCACGTGAATATACGTCACAAAATGTCTCTGTGTCACGTGATTGCAAGTGATGTAACATTCGTGTAAATACATTGTATGCTTGTTTCATTTTGATTTAAATTATTTGAAAATAACACTGTGCAAGATAATATAAACATCCCTCGATTATATATATATATATATATATATATATATATACACATTTCTAGATTACCGTTTGTATTAAAACATGTAAACTATAAAATTACGTAATATTCTGTTTTTCGACAGTTATAACAAATCACCCACCACTTTATATGTTCGTGTATTGTCTAACTGAGTTTTAACTAAGTCCCAGAGAATGATTCGCCCGTCAAAAATGAGATGCTTCCATAAGTCTGTAGAAGTATTGTCTAGTTGTTAATTTCTATGCACTCACGTCGCAGACGGACCGCGGCACGGAACGCCAAGTTTACGTGTTTGTTGACAGTGTAATCCCTTGGTTGTCAGCAGAGTGGTTTTTGCAGCCAAATATTTTCTTCACCTGCTCTCGAAAATCTTTCAATTTACAAGCATAAATAAAAGGGTTGATACACATATTCGCACACACTGAAACGATACCATAGCGGAAAAACACGCTGTTGAAATCAACATCGAATCCGATATTGAATCCGAAATAGACGATTTGATTCGGCGACCAACAAATGATGTACGTGACGGCGACGATCAACAGCGTTTGGATAATGTTCTTTTCCGTTTTGCTGAGGGGTTTTGAGCCATTCTCGGCGGGCTCACCTTCTTTGCGAGGACCCGATGCGTGTATTTTAGTGCTACGTCGTACTACGCGCAGTATACTGATGTACACGCAAGCCATAATGATGATCGGTATAATATACTGGAAAATAACGACGAACGATCCAAGATATTGCAGCCATGGTTCCCAATACTGGGTACACCCGCCGGCACCGTCGTTCATCTGCACCATGGCCCAGTGGAGCTCGTAGCCGAAACTGAAAGGCCACACTAATGCAACCATGATTTTGGCTCTCTTCTGTGTGAAACTGGTGTGATGTTTAATCGGGTGACAGATAGCGAAGTAGCGCTCAAAAGTCAACAGTACAAGATTGAAGGTAGACCCGAGAAAGCATGCCCACATAGGATAGTAACTTGACGCCCACAACTTGCAAAAGACATCGCCCGGAATTCCTGCAGGTATTGGCCCTACGGGTATGAGATGCTGGGCAACCAGGAGAAGTGAACTCATTAGATCCATACACGACTGATTTAAGATAAATATGTTCGTGCTACTCAGTCCAGACGGACTTGTTCTATGCATACGCACGAAAACCATTATCACTAAAGTATTTCCGACGATTCCCGTGAAACCAATAGCTGCAAACACCGCCTTCATAATTTTGTCGACGTTGTCGGAACCATCGCCACCTCCCCCGCCGGTGCTTTCCGTGGTGATGTTCCACGGAATCTCAGTTGTGTTATTCATGATAACAATCTTTGGCGACTTACTAGCTGAGTACAATAGGCAGTCCAAGTTGCTATTTTCTAATCAGCAGCGAGTGCTCTAACGCGTGAGACGATTCGGTTAATGGATTGGTGACACGAAACGATGCTGTGCTTCGATAACGGATGTACGTGGAATTACCTCATCAATGACACACATGCTCCATCACGCACTTCTTAATCGTTTCATTCAATCCGATTTGATTCACCCAATCAGGTTGTCAACATTTGTTATTTCGTTTCGTAGCCACTGCATCCATCCATCTGATTCCGGACAACGTATGTCTTTTCTCCTAGGGGAAAAACGAAAATAGATGAGTGCTAGGAAGAAAGAATCTCATTTAATATCATTTACTCTGTGTAAATGAAACAATATGTAGCATATAGGGCTGCACGCGGGTTTCCAACGTTGACATCACGTGTGCTTTCTTCACAGCGAAAGTATGACGATTAAACTACCAATGCATCGTTAAGTACGAGCCACGCTCTCAGTGACAATGCGCTTCAAAAAAATATCAAATCGCACGGAAAAATATATTTACTGATATACGACTGCAGATTAAAACAATATCAACACGTATATACGTCATAAAACGTATACCGTTGATAGAGGGGAGATGTGCATTTGAGTGGCGCATTGACGTAGCAGACACTCAATGATCGCTGATGCACGAGGTGGAGGTGCATGTCACCATGGGCGTTTTAAATGCGTTTAGTTAGATTCATGTCATTGATAAAATGAAAGTGTCTGAGTTTCCATCGCCAGAATTATTTCCGGATGTAGTGGCTGCGCATCAATATACATGATCTGCAACTAAAAGACTTTTAACGCCAATGTTTAGAGGTGACAATTTAAACGTGTTTGTGCGTTTTACTGTAATTTCTCTGTTAATTGGACAAAATGAAATATTATGCGGGTTTAGTTTGTGAATAATGGCAGAAGTTGACTTAATGAGGGTCAAATGGAGATTAGAGCCAGACTGTATTTTTTGTCAAATATTATCCCTGAATACACGTATTGAAAATACGAAAACAAAAAACACGCAACATTACACTTCGGAAAAAAATAAGTTTGCCTACACTAATTACGTTTAATGACACACGCTTTAGTGCATGAAAGATGGTTTGTTATATAATGTATAGAAATTTAAGTTCGCTTGAATACAGTTAGTTAGATTGCACTGCGCCCTGACCGATTCACGTCTCGCTTGCTTGAATATTATACAATTTAGAAATGTCCTTATTACTCATCGCAGAGAGCTAAAAAAGCACAGCACGGAAACTGAAGTATAGGTATTGTGTATTGAAAATATTGCAAGCACGTTTTTAAGAAGCTCCGCCACTAAAACCACAAAGAAAGAAATAGTAGAAACAATTAATTAACATTGTTTAATAATAGCTTTATGCATGGCAGGCAATCTCAATATATGATGCAAATGACAGATGCCAAATACATATTAACCATTTAAACCATTTTTTTTCTTTCTTTTTCATATTTTCACGAATTACAATAATCGCATAATGCTTTATCTCCTTAATTATTTTGCGATAGGAAAACAGTTCGTGCGTGACTAAACGTGTATTGAGTGATATGTTCTCGGCACGTTTGTATATTGAAACGACGATGACTCTAGTACTTATAGTGACCATGACCTTTTTGATAATCTTTTTCTATATCGCTGAAATATCCAAGATCCTGGTGTATATTTAAGACTTAATACTACACAGGCAACTGATATTGATTAGTGAAACTGACTTTTATTTACCATACCAGAATAAAGCCTATGTACGATGATGCTTTATTTAATACATACGTAGCAAGTAATTTATTGGATTATGAATTAACTTCAGCAACAACTGCACGTATACGTCGTTCGCAAATAGGTCGAAGAAGTAAATGGTGCTATAAGGTTCTCACAATTGTTACTCATAGTTGCATATTTTTTGACAGCCTCACTCTTGTCGGAAACAACCGAGATTCTGATGTCTAATTACAAATCATAATATCAACACCAAACTAGCCTATCCGTGAAAACAATGTAGTATAATTCATATGACAGTCATGCGGAATGAGGAAATTTGCATACAATGTTTCATTTCAAAATAAAAGAATGATTATGTAAGTTTCTTTAAATAGCCAATGTAATACATCTTAAAGAATAATGACTTCAGTAATGAGCCGAGCTCAACATGTGTAGGTACAACCATGAATAGGTAGAGATAAATCGGTCAACATTTCCCGTGTAATCATGTAACCATTTTTGGCGATATGCTATGTTTATTATTCAACGGCAATACAATACATTCACCGTGTCGAGGGCCATCGCAACACAAATAATTTCTTTTCAAGGTGTGTGCAACCGAATCTCTCGACAAATCAAATCAAATCAGTGCAATGTCGCTCACACTATATTCTGAGTTCGAAATTTTCACATTCTCGTCTTGTGCACAATTATAACAGAACATTGTCGTACTGTGACGGTGTAGGCAGCCGTCCTTGTTTAAGTTTGTCCATGTGGCTGGTTGGCATGAACCAGTCATTCGCACAGAGTATAAAACAATGCTATTGTCCACGGTAGCTACTGATTATAAGTGTATACTAGTATGTCCTGGATAATAGAACAACATATGGACAACGTTTTCACAGTAGAACACATGCTGGTACTACTAATAATGAGTGAGTGACGTTTTTTCATTAGACAGACCTTCGCATTCTGGTTGACAACAAATAAACAAAAATGACGTTACAATGCGAATTAACTAATTAACGGTTGTCAAGTAGAACACTGCCATGGCAAATCGGCAAAGCAAAAATGGCAATATCGAATGTAACATTGACGCTTCTAAATATGGGGCAGACTCCCATGGCTAAATGATAGTGATTAATCACCAACACATTAAGGACGTTTCCTTTTTTCCAGACTGAAAAAAGTGAAATAACTCGTTTAAAAATCACATACTCGTTCACTGCACAGAATATGGTAGGATTTCGTAGGATTAGCGTGCACATCCATACAGCGTTTCCAATTGAGCCGTCCCCGTGATCGATATCGATTTGCCAGACTCGCACATCATTCATTGTGGTTGAATGGAATTCCACAAGAGACAAAGTCTGCATCTCAGTTTACACATACCAATACGGGGACACCATTGTGACTGTAAAATTTACCAACATTACATGATGGGAACTCAAACACTGCATTACAATAAGCTTGTCAATTTGCTTGACCATGAATTGATGGTCGTCGCGCTTAGGCTGATTTTCAAATAACATATTAAAACTCATTCATATCGCGTATGTCAATCAAAATTTTTCAAATTATCGTAATTTTATTACACTTTCAACCCCTTTAATGTATTGACACCAATCTTGTCTGGGTAATAATATTAATAACAATAAGTATTTGAAATTTGACGCATCGAATTTATAATTACTGACACTTTGACATGATGTGGTTTATTTTGGGTAATAGTTGACAAAGAAATGGCAATCAATTTCCGTGTTCAGTATGATGTCACAGTGTGAATAGGCTCTATTCTTCGGTGGCCATGGAAATTTTGCTGAGAACGTAAGAGACACGCAACTTGCTCTTGTCAAATTGTGGTCCATTCAGTTTTTTATCGTGATTGTGTTTACTGTTTTCAAAACCTTCTACCGTTTCATGTTTAAATATCGTCACCATTATGAAGAGCGCCATCTGCTTTCAAACATAATCATGGAGAAAGGTGTTTTATATTTATATTTTGCGAGATAAATAATTAGAGAGTAAAATAAACATTTAAAAGTGTATTTATAAAATAAATGGCGCCAATCTACCAGCCACGTGTTCAAATAATTTAGTGTATGTGCGGTGCTAAACATGTAACAGTTCTTTCAAACGAAACTAATCATCTGTTTATTGTATTTATGTAAAAGAATTATGTATGTTCCACTGACGTATAAATCAATACAGTGTGATTATATTTTGTTCTGCGCATGCGTATACGTATTCTTGTTCTTGGTATGAATTCCCAGCTTCAAGCGAATATATACATGCTATATCGAAATGTTTTAGTTTACATGAATTATTTCACAAACAAAAAACGAAATGAGTTTTCCGGCGCTGCTTACAATTGTACGGTGCATTGATTTACACTTTAAAAGTCGACAAATTGGTACCTGTTGTAGAGCCGTAGTTTGGTTTCAATAGATGTAGTATAACAAAGCTAATAGGTACTTAGGGACGCACACGGAAGAATGTTCGCTAGAATTGTTCAAATTGCAACCACAGAGTAAAAACGTGTTCACGCTGAGAACATGTGCTCCAACGCTAACCCAGTCGCGCGTCACGCTGCGTTCATATTCAGATATCAAGTCGCATTGTGACGTCACGCTGCGTTCATATTTAGATACCAATTCCCGCTGTGAGAGATTTGAGAAACAATACACCGAAACAAATGATACCCAAGTAGCTGACAAAAACTACATCTACTACTAAATTCCTTGTTTTCTGCGACATAATACAACGTATCGCCAATGTTTAGATACGAAATGGAGGCCCTTACTAGGAAAAATACGTTCGAGATAAGAAAAAAAAATGACGCAATCATTCAAAATGGCGGATACGTTAATGAATCAAGTAAATCGCAAAATGTCTATCACCATTGGGGTAAATCATAAGGTTATCACATGCATCCTGCATTGCTTCGTGAGTAGATTAAAACTTCAAGGCGGACTAAATTAATGAGAACTTTCAATCGAAGTACGGTCTGATTATCTGGTTTGTTCTGTATCGAAGTAGACCCATTGTATTTGTCATTTTATTCTACAGCAACGCACGCATGTACACTCCACATGTCTATGTTCCATATCGACAACATTAACTATGATCGTATGATTCACGTATTGTTCCTTTATTTACGAATAGCTGCATGGAAAACCTTGTTACATGCGAATAATAATACATCATCACATTTAAATTGTCCTATTTAAGTACAATCCAT